GAGCGCTAAAAATCTCGAACATTGATTATTTGAGATTTAAAAAATAAAAGTCGAAATCATTTTTCGGGTGATGGATTCCATCCATTTTGTCTTCCTCGTGCACACTTGAAATGTTTGAGATTAAATGTGCAACAAATTAATGTTAGGGTAAAATCTGTAAATATTTGAAACTGTGACCGCATTTATCCTCATAAAATATATGGATAAAAAGACATTTAACTATTTATAAACAATTTATAAACATTTGCCAAACATAGGCTAAGATTATTACAGAATTAATTTGGCATGTGGTAGGACTTTGGCAGTTGGCATGTTCAGACAAGCACCCTTGTTTTGTCACAATCAAGTAGGTTTGTTTAGTGATCATCAAAGAACCAAGTTGAAGCACGAAAATGAAGTGACATGATTTTAAAGGTAATTCCACTTATTTTAGATTTAATTTTTGCAAATATTTCTAACTACATCTGCCCAAATTTAGAATGGTACGTTTGAATTTTGGTGGAGTCTATTAGGCCACTTAGAGGATAGTAATTGAAGGAGACAGGATCTACAAAGACAAGGAAGAATCCCAGATAATTTGACAAAAGTAAACACGTTTATATTGAGAAAGTGCGAATAAAGTTATACATCGGTTAAATATTGGGTAGATGATGATTTTATAAGGGATGTGGCAACTCCCCCTCATGGGTTAATATTTTAGAATGAAGCCTCAATTTTCTAGAAGTGATATCGAAAATAGGTCCCAAATTTAAATACGGGCGCACCAGATGAATTTTTGGTAGCAGTTGAGGTGGTGGACCCTAAGTTGGATCGCAATGTCAAAAAAGTACCCTGCTACATGGACGTTTGGAAAAACCTGAAAAAAAAAATCCACGATTGACTCTGAAGGTAGTTGTGCTTCTGTAAGGCGGTGGCTCCATACACATTGGAATAGTTAGGCCTTGTTACATGATTATTCCTCCTTAGTCTAAGGAAGAGGGATTGATAGATTTTTTTTTTTTTTTCCTAGGAGTGATATCGAAAATAGGTCCCAAATTTAAATACGGGCGCACGAGATGAATTTTTGGTAGCAATTGAGGTGGTGGACCCTAAGTTGGATCGCAATGTCAAAAAAGTACCTTGCTACATGGACGTTTGGAAAAACCTATAAAAAAAAAAAAATCACAATTGACTCTGAAGGTAGTTGTGCTTCCGTAAGGTGGTGGCTTCAAACACATTGGAATAGTTAGGCCTTGTTACATGATTATTCCTCCTTAGTCTAAGGAAGAGGGATTGATAGATTTTTTTTTTTTTTTTTTTTTGGGGGGGGGGGGGGGGGGGGGGGGGTTTGT